GTGTGTGTGTGTGTGTTGTTGTGTGTGTGTTGTTGTGTGTGTGTTGTTGTGTGTGTGTTGTTGTGTGTGTGTTGTTGTGTGTGTGTGTGTTGTTGTGTGTGTGTTGTTGTGTGTGTGTTGTTGTGTGTGTGTGTGTGTGTGTGTGTGTGTGTGTGTGTGTGTGTGTATTTGTGTGTGTGTGTGTGTTGCCTGTAGTGGGTGGAGGGATGGTGGAAGTGTTGTACGGGCATATATTATTATGTTGTTGTTGTTCTTTGCTTTTTTCCGTGGTGTCTTTGGCAGTGCACTTGTCACGGTGTGCCTCCTCGTGCCCCCACAGTAAGTGACGTGACGGCGAAGGGATGTTGAAGGTGCTCCACGCGAAGGCTGTCGCCGAACCAATCTTGCTGGCAACGACGTGCCACAACATGGACCTATTCGCCATCGTCACACGCTCGTTGGTGGTTGTGTACCGCTCCACCACCCTCACCGTCGTGACGACGCTCCCACTTGTCATGAAGGATAAAGAGATGGCGGTCTCCGCCTGCTGGTCACCATCTGGACGGCTGCTTGCCGTCGGTCTGCAGTCGGGAGACTTGTATCTTCTGGATGTCGAGAGCGGCGAACTGATACGGCGGTTTGTCCCACGTCATGGCATTGCACTGGCCATCAAATCCGCTCATGCGAAGACGCTCTCTGGCATTGCCGACACCCCCGCAGAAGACGACAGCAACAACAGAAGCGGTGAAGAAGAGGACGGCGGCGAAGATGACATAGAACGGGATCCGCTGCGTCAGCCACCTATTCTACCGATCTCCGTGGATGGGGCGATTGTTGCCTGTACGTGGACCTCCTTTGCCCCACGTACACCAACGATGCATAGCCACAATGAGTTGTGTTTACCCCTAAGCGCGACGATCTCCTCACCAATTTTTGAGGAGTTGGAGCGCCAAGAGGACATACCTGTGCTGCTGGTGCTGGACCAGAAAGGTGGGCTGAGTTTCCTTCCTGGTGGTATGCAGGAGGTGGGCGTTGTGGTGATGAGCCTGCAATGGCCGTTGGATCCGTTTTGCATGCGTGTTGAGGCATTTTTTGTGGCCGCCACGCCGCCACCAGCACCAGGTGCTCATAAAAATGACAGCAGTGGTATTTGGAGCGAGGGCGGGAGTACGGACTTCCACGCAGCGTATCTTGTGGTGCGGGAAACAGGAGGGCAAGCTTCACCGCGCCCCTTCTCGCAAGTTGTACGCATTCACCTTTCCGACACCATTGCACGCGTGACGGATCGCGAGGCAGTTGCTCTCTGCTCCATCGTCGAATATTGTCGCATGGGGAAGGTATCTTATCAGTTTGTGCGAAAACGATGGGAAAGTCTCATTTGTGCAGTTCGCAAGGATTTATTGTTGCCGCAGAACGCCCTCCTGCTTCGCGATACACTCATGGAAGATATCGCGCAGCCGCCTTTGGCGGAGGTGACAGCGTATTTTGAGAGAGTGGACTTGGAGGCACTGGTGAAGGACACCGAAGAGCTTTCGAGGCAGTTTGCGCATCTCGTGCTGCAGGTCTCTAACGTTGCCTACCGCTGCTACGATCTTGCCCTGCACCTGTCACAGGCTCACTCCAGCGACCGGCAGCGCCAGTGTATGTTGATGGACGTCATTGGTGGGCTAAGGCAACGGTGCAGCAATTTTCTGCGGCAAATGCGGCTTGAGCTGGAGCGAGAAAAGGATCTCGTGCACTGGGTGCTACATCGCGCCGCACCCACGGGAACCAGGCCGTTCACTTCTCTCCCCTCGCTGCGTGCGGCGCGACACCCGTCTTTGCTGCGCACTCTTCACCACATTGCGCGTGGGGAGTCCACGGTGTTTTTTCTTGCCGATGAAGACATTGCGCGGGGCGAAGAGGAGTTGTCGTACATCGTCAAGGGGTGTTTGATGGGCAGCAGGGAAACTGTTGCTTGCCTTGTGCCGCTGCTGGATGACATTGCCGCCGAGTCGATCCTCCAGCGGCAGTGCGAGGTGCTCGTGACAGATACGGCAGTGGCGGGGGTGGAGAGCGTGCAGCTGCACGCTGTGACAGTCACACAGTCGCACCCGTGCCAACCGATCATGGCTATCTACGCACTGGAGCCGCGTGGCAATGCGGGGCTTTGCTTCGTGACACAACACGAAAGTCCGGCGGTGGATGTTGCGCCCTTGCGGCTTGCCGAGGCAAAAGCCACCCTTCTGTGGAGTGGTGTTGTGGACGATGGGGGGCGCCGTGTGGTTCTGTGGGAGCGAGCGGCTGCCTCGGTTGAGTCGGCGGACGCCACATTGTTGGTTGCTGTGGTAGATGAAGCGGGCGTTGTTGAGGTCGCCGCAAATGCTGGGGAGAACGACAGGGAGGAGGAGGATGAGGAGGAGGAGGCCAGAAGTGCAGCGGAAGGAGAAGCAGAGCTCCACTACGCCGTGTTGGAGATCAAAGGCATTTCCACGCGTCACTTGCGGGCCTCTGTGAGTCGGGTGCGTGGCTTCGGTGTGTTTTACGCGAAGGAACGCTTTGTTGTGGTGGATTTCAAATGCGGCTTTAGAAGGGTGGTGATGGGGTTGAGCGACGGATAGCAACAGGGAGGGAAGAGTTTAAACACGCACACACAGAAGAGAAAAGGTGAGGAGGGAGCGATGGGGCAGTGCGTGCATGAGCCTCATTGGCCTGCTGACATGCATTTATTACAATTGTTGTTGTCTATGCCTCTTCATGCCTTTCCGGGGGCCGTAAAATGTCCATGGGAAGATCCCTTTCTTTCTGGTTTCACTGTTTTTCGCCGTCTTTTTTGCACGTTTTGGTGGCCGTCAGATGGAACGAATTCACGTTCTTTGTTTTCTTTATTTTTCCCTTTTTTCGTGTTCTCATTTTTGTTTTGTTTTGCCTTCATCTTTATTTGGCTCATCACACTCGCTATGCGGTACGCTGGCAGCAGGTTTCAACCACAGCCGCTTCTTGCACGGCGACACACGGACACAATCATAACCGCCCATGTCTGAGAGGTTTAGCGAGTTTGCGGAGAAGTACCACCTGGTGCAGGCGTACCGCACCTCCTTGAGAGCTGCCATGACGGCGTGGGGGTGGCTACAGGAGCGTGCGTGGCCTGTGTACTCCACCGGCGTCATCCTCTCCGTCCTGTGCGCGCTGTCCGTGGCGCACGAGAAGCAGATTCTCGCCGACAGCCTCTACGGCGGCGACGTCGTCCTGAAGAATGAGCGGGAGAAGATGGTCGACGAGGCTCGAAAACTCTTACAGGAGGAGGCGACGCAGGGTGTGAAGCAGGTGGTCTGGATGCTGCCGGGCGGCGAGTTTAGGAGCGAGTACCATGACCGCCACGGTAAGGTCTGACGGGGGTGGGGGGCAGTCCCAAGTGGCTAGTCGCGGGGATTCTAACGGAGGGGGCGGCTGGGAAAGAAAACATGACGTAAAAGTAAAGAATGACTGGTCCGTCTGGGGAACGACAAACTAACGAAGAGGAAGAACGAAGGAATAAAACCAAAAAAGGAAAAGAAAAAAAAACGAGGCGAAGAAAAAGGATGGAGGGGGAAGAGGAAAGGGGGTAGGCGAGGGACTGGGTGTGACTGTGGGTGGTTTGGTGAGAGGTGCGTGTGTGGTTTCTCTCCTCTGGAATTCGTGAAGGTGAATAGGGGATACGAAATAACGGCTCAACGCGCCGATTTTTGCTCTATACCCACAGACACAGACACGGAGACGGGGGCCTCATGGCGGACGCAGTGGACTGTCATCGGAAAAGTGAATAACCTCCCTGCACTTCTTCAGCGTGGCGTCTTACCACTCTTTTTATTTTAAAGCTACCCATTTTTCTTCTTCTTTGCTCTGTGCATGCACGCATGTGGAGGCATGTGTGTGTGTTTGTCTATATGTGTGTGGCTGTTGTGGATGCACTGGTCTCATGCCGAGGTGATGATCTCGCGACGCCGAGGCCTTCTTGGTGGTTTCTCTGATGCCTCTTTTCGATGGTCCTTTTTTACTGGGGCACCGCTGCACACAACGAGGGGGGTTAGGGAAGAGTGCAGAAAAGGAACATTGAAATGGAGACGAGCGCCTCGCGCACATCTACCACGGAGGCTGCGCCAGGGCGGGAAGATGTTGGAATGTTGTCGTCATCAACGGCGGGGTCGGCGTCGACAACAACAACAGCGACGGTAGGATCGTTAGGCCACGGTGGGGATGGCGATCCTGGCAGCAACGACAGGAGCAACGCGTTGGCCCGCAGCTTCGAGGAGTTACTTGACGCTGAAGTGTCGGTAAACCCTGCAAAGTTGCGTGAAGCCTCCCGCGCCGGCATTCCACCGCTCTACCGCAGCCCTGTCTACCTTTACCTGCTAGGTGTCGCCTTTGTTGACAAGTCGCGTGAAATGTCGCTGGAGCGAATGCTGGAAAAGGATTTTGAGCAGTTGCTGGCAACCTTCGCCCGAATTGCCGCGTCAGATGAAGTGGGACGGCGCCCGTCCGTGAAAGGGCGTATTATGCAGCCAATGGCATCACTCACGCTGCATGACGCTGAGAGCATCCCACTTATTGCCCGGCAGGAAAGCCGGTTTGCAAACGGCTATTTGTGCTCAGGTCGCAACTTTTCCGTAGGCTTTGCGGCGTGGATAAAGCTTTACGCCAACTTGAGGTATCTGCCACGGTTTGTAGGAAATCCAGGGCGACGGCAGCGGATGGAAGCCGCGTGGCAGGCCTTGCACGTCACAAACTCAGAGGCGACACCCGATGAAGTAGATAGCTTGTTTGAACTGGCGCTTGTGTTTGAGTCGGTGCATAGCACAGCGCGGGACATTTACTTCTCTACCGCCTCCCTCTACCACTTATTGACGCATCACGGCAATGTGCTGCAGAGTGCGCAGTGTCTGCAGAAGCACTGCGGTACATTCCTCATGTTGTTTCGCGCCACAAACTTTGACCTTTACCGCCACTTTGTGGCGGAAGGTGTCACTGTCGTTGAGTGGCTTCCGCAGATGCTTAAGACGCTCCTGGCAGGTCGGCTGCACGAGGAAGACTTGCTGCGCCTGTGGGACGTATATTTGGCGGGCGCATTGGAGGACCTGAGTTGCCCGCTGCACCCATACGTCTGCCTGGCGATTCTTGCGGAGATGACGGAGGTGCTGCTCGAGTGTGAGAAGTCCGGAATCATTGAGCGGCTGCGGCACCTCCCCCGTATCAACGCCGGCTGCATCATCCAGAAGGCCGTCTCGCTGAAGGAGTCCGTTTTCTCAAAGAATCTGCTGTGAGACGTTGCGCAGTTGCTTCGCTTGTTACCTTTATCTTTCTCTGTGCGTGAGTCTATTTTACGAAGTGGAGGACTGAGAGTGGGGGGAGGGAGAGAGAAAAAGAGAGAGCGGTGGAATTTGCCAGAGTTGTCCACGGAGTGAGAGGTGTGTAGTCGTATGCATGCATCCTACAACTCATGTTGGCGTGTCTGTATGTAGACGTATTCATACGACTGCCACAACAGATATGTGTCTCTCTTCGCGTGACAACAACTTTTGTCTCGGTTTGTTTGGCGTTGCACCGCCACAAAGGCCTTTACTCAAGGAAAAAAGGAAGGTGCTGCCCCAGTGGAATGGATGTCACCGTCAGTCCGTGGAGCTACCGCGCCGCCTTGCAGGAACAGCTCGCTGCCTCCAACACTCCCGTCGCTTCACTTGCAAGAACAACAAAAACAACACCGCCGCACGGCGGGCGTGGGTACCGGCAGCACGGCGAGGGTGTTGTCATTGAAAACAGCAGTCTTCTCGGGAATTACAACGACCTTGCCGAGGCGGTGGCGTTTCCGCAGTCCGGCGGCGGCGGCGGCGGCGGCAGATCCCGCTCGCTCGTGATGGATTTTATCGATGAGTGTGTGCGCAAAGGCGTGCCGGAGTCCGTTATTGTCGAGCATGTCATGTTCATGGTCCATGCGATGCAGGAGCAGATCAACCTAACGGAGGCCTTGCACGCACGCTTTCACCAGGACCGTCTGCGACAGTACGAGATGTCAGAATTGACAAACACGCTGGAGCGACAACAAGTCTACTACGATGAACAGCAACACAGCAGTCACAGGAAGAAATCGCAGGAGTGTGAGGAGGCAAACAGGAATTTGGTACAAAGCCAGGATCGCGAGGAACATGTACCGCCATGGCGTCAGGTGCGGCTGAACGCGGGACTTGTGGTGGGCAGCAGTGCCGCGAGGGGGTGTCGTGGGTACCATGCGTTAACGTCGAACAATGAACGTCATGCCCATGTGGCGTTTACACAGACGCCGCTGGAGGAGAGCAGTGGGCAGCAACGGCACGGAAGAGGAGGAGGGTCTGGGGGTACTGCGGCAGCAACGTTTCAGCGATTTATGCGGCCGACAGATGCCAGTAATAGGAAAGAGCGACGAAAGTACGGAGCTGTTTTGGAGGACTTGCATGCTCCTCCTCCTCCTCCACTACGATCGGTGCGTGCGCAGAAATTAACAGAGGCGGCCCGACAAGGGGCGCGGTGCCGGCGCCTGGCAATTGACAAGTTTGCTCGACGTGGACGTCAGCGGCTTGTGGGCAAACTAGACAACGCTGCTGACAGTCGGTTGACGTGGTCGGATGACGATGACAACAACAATAATACGGTGCCCTCTCCAAAACACCATGGCGAAGGACAAAGCCCCGGCCCTCGACTAGACACTCAGCAGCTGGCGAGAGAAGTTACACAGTCCGACACCGTGCTTTCTTCTCTGTCACCACCGCGTAGTGAGACTCTTCGCGCCCGCGATGGAATCCCTGCGACGAGGCTCTACGCTGTGGATACAGAGGCTGAGAAGAGGGAGGAAGAAGTGGCGGGGGATTTGAGCTTGTGGAAAGCGGGAGAATTTCCTGTGACTGTCTCAGCATTGGCGGCAGCCCCTCTGTTATCCGTTCGAACCCCTTCATTCTTCCCGAGTCCTCAGCTGCAAGCGTACATTGAACAAAGCCGGCGCAAGGTGCGGGAGGTGGAGCGTGTATTGGCGAGTACGCCAGAGCGCGGCACCACGCGGGGGGTTTGGTGAGGCCGCACTGCATTCTCGAAGCCTCATCTCCTTCCTGCTGTGAGTTTCTTGGGAAAGTTTTGAGGGTGGGGGTGGCCTTTGAGAAGTTTTTTTTGTTGTTTTTTTGTCTTCACACGTCATTATCTCTGGTGTGTGTGTGTGTGTTAGAGAGACGGCGGGGGGGGGGAGATGCTTTGTACACTTACGATCGGGTGGAAACAAACTTTTAATGGCAAGCCCTGGGGAAGGAACGAGGAGGGGGGGGGGGTGTGGAGGCGATGTGCACACCGTTGCGAAGGGGCCGACGTTGACGGTGATCTGCTGCTGTATTAGCTACGGTCAACTTTTAACTCTTTCTTTCTCTGTTTCTTCTCTCTCTCACGCACACACTAATAATTTGGTGTTGATCTCGATTGACTTAGCAAGGGGGCAGGGAGGTGAGAAGGAATGGCTGAACGGTTTCGCGTGCACCTAGCGCCTCTTGATGTCAACCTCATGACGGGGGAGAAAAACGGTGAGGTGGCGCCGCTGGTGCATGTGGAGGCTCACATGCAGGAACGAGGCGACGCCCTGTACGATGAGGCAGAGATGCGTGAAGAAGGGCGGGGCACAAAATTTAGCGCCTTGCTTACAAGGCTCTACTACGGCGCTGCGACTATTGTGAGTAAAATTGAGGAGGTTCCGACCCTCGTGCGGAGTTGCCCCATGGCTTCAGGTAATACTCGCCCCTCCTTAGCGCACATTCAGCTGCAAAACGATGGCCGGTTATTCCTCCAGCGACCGGTTGAAGATGGAGACTACATGTTGGCTGTCACCGTCCCCGCAGGTGTGTGGAGGTGGTTGGGGCCGATGACGCTGCAGATTATTCTGGCAACGGCAGTGCGAGGATATGAAATAGCCACGAGTGTTGCCGCCGTTTCCTCCGTCCCGACGTACTGTCCACTGCGGGATCGTCTGGCAGAGAGTGCGGAGGCCGTGGGGGATGCGGTGCAGATACGCATGCAGCAACTCATGGAATTTGTTGCGTTGTTGAACGAATGTGAGCATCACGAGACGGCGTCATCCGCGGCGCTCCTGCACGGCGGTCAAGAGGTCGTTGCTGTCACGCAGCGACTGTGCCACAATCGCCCCTCGCTGATGCGCAGCGATAGCCGCCTGACCGGCACACTGCAACAACTACTGTGGTCAGCGACGAGCTATGCCGACTACGCTTCCCTCAGTGGCGCTGTCTCCTGCGGCGGCATGTGCAATGGATACAAGCGCCTCGTGGTCACGGCTGCGGCGGTGTGGTACCACGGCGAGCCCCTCTTTATCAGCGGCTCAGGTGGCGACTTCGAGGCGTATCTGTTGCCAGCTGCCATTGTGGCGTATGCGGGTCGCTGCTTGGCTGATCGGGAGGCCACTGTAATGCAGAATCCCATTTCCGTGAGGTGTCTCGCAATGCACCGGCAGACATCCCGGTATGCGCCACTCGGCGTGGGATATGTGCGGCAACACGAAGACGCAAAAGAGCGGACGGCTGCCGTCACGGCTGCGTTTGTCTCCGTAGGCGGATGGATCATCACGCTGCACATGGAGGCTGCACTGAACGACTTCACAGGCGCCCCCATGCCGCACATCGTCTCTGGCGTCACAGACCTCATCACCAGGACACTTGAAACCCCGCGATTTGCCGCACTGGTACGCCTGCTTACCTCAGAACAACTGATGACGAGAGGCCAAAGCACTAATACTGCCACCAGTCCCGCTCCTACGGCAGCGGCGGCGGCTATGACCGTTTCTTCTGCTTGTATTCTCCGTGCCGTGCGACATATTGGCCTCTTTGCACATTTATTTGTTGATGCCAGCGACACAGCGACGCTGTCGCGGGATATTTGCCTCTATCGTTACCACCAGACTGCCTTGAGTGCAGTGGTGGGAAACGAATGGGGCCTGTGGCCGAAGCACACACAGGAGGCCGTGCAACGTCTGGTGGAAGTCAGTGCGCTTACGTTACGACGGCAATGTCGGAAGGTGTGCGGCAGCGTGGATAGACTTGCAACATTTTCTTTGCTTCGCGGGCGCCGCTTCGTTGTTGTGCTCTTGGCTGTTCCCGTCTACAGTCCTGTGCCCAAAGCTGTGTTTCTTTTGGTGGAACTGGAGCCTGAGGGCATTCCGGCGGCAACCGAGTTGCGCGCCTTTGCAACGTGGGTGTTGACAAAGGTTCTCTGAGAGGAAGGTGGAAGCGGAAGGGGCAAAGAATTTGTCCATTATTATATATATATATTTTTGTAGCTGCTTTGCATTGCTGCTGCTTCGTTTCCTCTGATTTCCATTGACTCAACTGCCTGCATTGACATGAAGGGTTGTCTTCTGTCTCTCTCCCTCTCCCACTCGGTGTGCGGGTTTGCCATTTCCCGCCCACCGAGGTGCACTGGTGCTGCTGCCATGAACTACCCTCTCATTTCTATTTGGTCTTCTTCTGTCGTGTGCGGCGCGTGCATGCGTTTCTCTCATAGTGCCGCCTTCTTTGCGTGCGTGTGTTTGTTTTTGTTTTCCCCCGTTTTTTTTGTTTGCGGGGGGCGGGGTTCTGCGTGGCAACACGAGACGTCGAGAGGTGACACTTTACCGGGCCTTTTACTGTTGCGGTGGCGCCGAGAATGCAGCGTGCGCATGGCATTCCGTCGCCCGCAAACCCCACGCGCAGCAGCGAGGTGGAGGCGGAGGACGATGACGATCTTGTGCGGCAGCTAGTCGAGGCGGTCGACGTGGACGCTATCATTGAGCGCATGGAGATGCAGCACCAGCGCCACATTTCCCCCATCGTTCAGAGCCTGAAGAGCTTCGACCGCGCCCCACGCCGTGAGCCGCGCGCCACTGCTGCCCACAGTTACCAACAATCGCAACAACAACAACAGCAACGGCAACCACCGTGTGAGACGCGGTTCAGTGCACCGCTGCGCTCACCAGTGGAGGATGCGGAGCCGCAGGGAAGCTACGAGGAGCCCGTGAAAGGAGTGTGGTCCGCGCCGCCGATAGCACCTGCGTACACCGCACCAGAGCGGAAACGGTGGGGGTCAGATTTTGGCATACCGGCGTCGTTGTCACTGCAGTCGCCCCGCGGATCTGACGAAGATGCCTCCTCCGCACCCCGCGATAATGACTACACGGAGAAGCCCGCTGTCAACCGGCAACATCGGTCGCGTGAACACCGAGCCACAAGGCTGCGGCCCCCTATTGAGTCTCCTGGCTTGGTGAAGTCACTGTCGCCCCACTGCCCGCCGCCGCCTCCGCCTCCGCCTCCGCCGCCGCCTCCCCCCTCCCTGGCGCAGGGTAGGCGGGCATGGAGTAGGGCGCAGCAGCGCCGGCGTCAAAGCGACCGGCATCGAGCACCGTCACCTGGTGAATTGCCCCACTATTCCGTGAACCGTCAATTGGAGCTCCACCGTTCGTACTGTGAGCTGTCAAGCATTCGCGGTCCATCCCTTGACAGACCCGAAAGACGAAGTCAGAGTGCCCGGAATGAGTACTGCGACCGTTTCCACGACCCCTACTTTGGTGGCAGCCTTTACCGGGGACCTCCCGCACCCCAACGTACGGATACTACTTCAGTGCGGGGACGCTCTTCCTCACCACCAGCCGTTGCGCCGACCCTGTCACCCGTCGCACAAGATGATAGATGGCCACAGTACACCGGGATCAGTTCTTGCTACGATCATAGGGGTTATTGGGGTTACATGGGAAATGGCTTTGAGGGAACACCTACAGCTACCACGGAGGAGGTGCACACCCCAGATGACGTGGACTACGATGAAGAGGAAGATAGGGAATTTGTTACAGTGCCACCACGCATCATAGAACGTGAGCAACATCTGCGGTCGCGGGTGGTAGAACCGCCACTGAATAGCTGCGACGCTGTCACTGGCTCCGCATATAGCAGAGGGAATGGTATGGAGCACGAACCTGCAGTGGGAGGGGAAAAAATGACAAGGAATCATGATGGGTCTCTAGGGCTGTCGTATGCGATGCACACCGTCCGGCCACGATCGCCACATTACATGGACGCGGACGGCGTTGCTTCAAGTAATAAAGTATTGAGATCACCTGATTGGGAAGCCGCGCATGTGGGGAAATTGTCGTTGTTCTTGGCCGCAACACCACGAGAGCGCGCCATGATGGAGGCAAAAGTGCAGGGCAAGGTGCCTCACGACCGCTCTGAGTCACAGAGTCGCCCTCCAGCCACACTGAAACGAGTTTTGTCAACAACTCTTTCAGAAAGCAACGATTATACGTTATGTCCTGAAAATTCAGCAATACGTCAAGGCGCGCAGCGCCTCAGCCCTGCATTGTCGCCAACGCGGCAAAGGGACCAAACATCCGCCGCGCAAGGTTCATCCGATGCCAAACCTCGCGCTAACGGGAACATGAACTCCAGACGAGATAAAACAAAGGATGTGGCAGCCTTACCGAGGCATAGCAGGATGACGCAGCATAAACACGAGCACTACGGGCTACGTACGGCGGTTAGGAGTGCTGGGAAGGGAAAGGATGTCGTATCCCCTTCCCGTTCAAATGGAGGTGACTCCTCTGACTCGTATACGTACTCTAGTTACAGTTATTCCTCATACAACTCACGGGATAAAGAACCTCAATCAATCTTGCCTGCGGCCGCAGCGGTCAAACCGAACAATCTCCACAAAGGGGGCTCCACCGCGGTTCGGCCGTGTCTAGGATCCAAAGCCTCTTCGCCACTGAACTCTCGTGTGTATCCCCCTCCAACAAATCAGGGATGGAAAAAGGTGAAGCAATCAATGCTTCAACCTCACGGTGTGCTGCAACGAAAGCAAAGATTGGGACCACCTCCGCCTTTCGGCATAAAAATGGCTCCAGCGGTACCACTGCGTGCTTCGCTTCAGAATTCATTTGTAGATATTCGTTCCGATCATACTTTGGACTTTGACCTTGTTCCGGCGGCGGAGGCAATTAGTGCTCATTCCTACTCGAAGCATCCATGTCCACGAGGGAGGCCTTTTATAGGTAATTCGCGCTCTAATGCTAGTCTGCGGAGTCTCCCCATGTCAACAGCATCAAAGATGCCATATATGTCGTACCTACCACAATCTCTGCTGGCACCAGCGAGGACCTCAGTACCACTGCCTAAGCCACTTCCCACGCAAACCACTCCGCAGGAGAAATCCCGCGGCGCCTCTGTGCCTGCCTCCATAACTAGGCTTCCCATTGGGGCTAAAGAGATCGTCTGGCGCACCAGCGGTGGTGGCTGTGTCGAGGGCAAAAGACATGAGGTGCATCTGGTCGTGAAAACAAAATTAGATCCACAAACTGTTTCCCCGCAACAGAGAAGTGTGTCCGTCGGCACAAACCCGCCGCCGCCATGTAGGGTTCCTCTTAGAGCGAGAAACTCGAGTAGTGAAATGCGAAGTTCCAGCGTCAATCGTGCCGTCGAGGTGCCACAGCGACGCCCGAGCAGGGAGATCTCGCTTGCTGGCAATACGCAACCAAAGAACTTCATGGAAACGTCTTCTGGTTGTGCACGTTTGGTGCATAACCCAGAAAACCAGACTAATTCAGTACAAGCAGTCGTTATCCAGAGTCTGTTCAAGGCAAAGTAGGGAAATGATGTTATTTCCCTCTTTTTGCTTGCATACAAGAGAGTGCCCTGGATGATATCTTCTGTTTTACATTTGTCATGGAGAAAGAATAGATGAAAATGAGGATGTGTTGCTCTGGTTGTGACTGTCCTGGGCAATAGTCTAGAAGAAAAAGAAATTGATGGGCGGGGGAGGGGTGGGGGGCATTTGTGCGAATGAAGGAAAATTGGAATTTGCCGCTTTCTTTCTTTGCTACTTTTACTCTCCGCTGTCTCCTTGTCTGTGTGGTGTTCCCATCTTCCTTTTGCTTCTGTTTATATATATATATATATATATATATATATATATCTTTACCGCCCCACCTCCACCAAGCGAGACGTTTATGTGTAAATAAACCCCCCTCGCTTCCATCTGTGCTACTATGTTTGCCGTCAGCGTCTCTTTTCTTGCCTCTGCCGTGGTGGATCATGATGGGCACTGCGCTGCTAGCCCCTTTAAGGATTAAATTTTCTCTTGCCTTCTTCCCTTTGTGTTTATGTGCGTGTGTGCGTGCTCCCCCCTCCGTAATGGCTGAAGAGAGTACCTGCGATTGGGGGATTCATCACAATGGTGACAGCTGTAAGTGCGGCCGCTGTTGGTCAGTCGTGGGCTGAGAAGTATAAGCCGACCACCATTGCTCAGATGTGCTACCCGGCGAGTGCGAACAAGCTAAAGGCGTGGGTCGAGGCAGTTGACGCCGATAGTGCCAAGAAGCGAGGTGCGTTGCTCTCCGGTCCCCCCGGCGTGGGGAAGACAACGTCCGTCTACGTGGTGGCCAGAGAGCTGGGCCGTGTTGTTGTCGAGTACAATGCCAGTGACTTCCGTAGTGGGAAATCCCTCCGCGAGCACGTCACGGTTGCAATTAACAACCACACCTTTAACATGAACGCCTCCGCGTACGTCAAGATCATTCTTCTAATGGACGAAGTGGATGGCTGCGACATTGGTGGGGTGAAGGAGATTATAGAAATGGTCAAGTCAACTAAAATACCAATTGTTTGCACTTGTAACGATCGCTGGCATCCGAAGCTGCGGTCTCTCGTGAACTACGTGGAGGACATTCGTGTCAGCCGCCCTCCTTGTAATATTGTGGCAAACTACCTCTGCGACAAGGTGTTGGCCCGCGAGGGAATTTCTCTCTCGAAACAGCTTCTGCAGGACATCATCCAACGGTCTGGAAGCGATATTCGCAGCATGTTAAACAACCTGCAGATGTGGTGTCTGGACCGTAAGTTGCTGGAGCAGAAGACTCTCGCGGCGTGCGCTGTGCAATCGGCAAAGGATGGTGATGTGGGTTTGTTTGAGGCGGCTGAGAAATTTTTGCTGCAAGGCACCTCCCGCGGTAGGCCCCACTCCATTGAGGAGTTGCAGGCCATCTTTTATAATTCGGATCTGGTGGATTTGTTTGTGCAGGAGAACTACATTCACTTCAAACCTGAGGAGCGGGATTGGATGGAGGCCGTGGCGGCGGCAGCCGACTCCATCTCGCTCGCCGATGTCGTGCAATGCATCATGTACTATGGGCAGAACTGGTCTGTTTCGCGTGCCCATGTGCAGCTCTCCAGCATTGCGCCCTGTGCCATCACACGCGGCCACTATCAGTCTTTTTTGTCCGGGCAGCAGGTGATTTTTGATCGACAGCGCCCTGTGAAGTTTCCCTCGTGGCTTGGGCAGAACTCCAGCGGGAACAAAAACAAACGACTTCTTCGCTGCCTGACGCTGCAAGCCTCACACCACACAAAAGGCATTAGCGGCAATCAGGAGGATGTGCTCCTGGACTACATTCCGCTGGGCTGGGAAGGAGCCCTCACAAAGCCGCTGGTGGAGCAAGGAAAGGCGAGTGTCGACGAAGTCATTCGTTTCATGGATCAATACCACATTTTGCGGGATGACTGGGAATTTATTCAAGCCGTCTCACACTTCAAAAAGATGCGGGCTTCCCCTCTCAATGCCGCAGGGGGCAACATTCCGACCGCCGTCAAGACTGCCTTTACCCGGGAATTCAACAAGACGCACCACGCCGAAAGTTTTGTGAAGGGGGCGTTGCAGCACATGGCTGGCGTGGACACCCAAACCGACGACGCTGAGGGGGAGGAGAACGGGGACGGCGCAAAGCGGCTGCTGAAGGTAAACGTAGGGACCACCAAGAAGGCGCCAGCTAAGAAGACGGCGGCTAAGAAGGCAGCCAAGAAGGAGACCGCTCCAAAGCCCAAACCAAAGCGGTCACCACCAAAGGCTAAGAGGGCAGTGGGAAAACGGCGAAGAAAGGCAGAGGAGTCCTCGGACTCTGAGGAAGAGTTCACTGGAAGTAGTTCCGATGACGACGACGAGTGACGCCGTCGATTGTGTCTCCTTCGTGTGTTTGGGGAGAGGAGCGCATGAGGGGGTGGAAGCCACACAGCTGTTTTGCGTCCATTCTACATTCCTTTTAGGTGTGGGGTGGTCTCGCGGCATCTGTCTGTGGAAAGCGTTGTTGCAGGTGTGGACTGTATGTGTTTCCCATTCTACACATGGTGGGAAGCATTGGAGAAATTTCCATTATCATTATTACTTCACTCGCTTTGCTTCATTTCCATGTGTGTTCCTGACTACTACCGGAAGCCCCTCATAAATGTCTCCTCCTTCTCTCGTTTTCTTTTTTTTTGTTTTTTGTCTGCTTCTCTAACGCAAGGTGAGGGGGAATGCCGACCCCAAACGCACGCCCATGTCTGTTTCCATGGTTGGATCGTTACATCTTTTTTTTGTTTGTTTGTTTTCTTGTTGATGTTGTGGTTGTTGAGTGAACTGTGATGTGTGTCCTTTCCTTGTCTTTTCATTTTTTTGGTGTGGTGCTTCTGGGAAGCCGTGTCTGCGTACAAGATGCTAAAAGGGAAGGTGCATCCGGTGGAGCATATAAAGATTGGCAAACACGTCTTTCCGATCTGGTCACACCCATTACTGCGAAAAAATCTGCGGGACGAGGTCTTGCTGGAGCAGGAGATCGAGAAGCGGCTTTACAACCCTGAGCTTCTGCATGCGGTAAATGAAGTTGTGGAGCGACTTCTGCAAGAAGGCGTGACGGGTAGCGTTAGCGAAGAGATGGTGGAAGATTACCTTGAGGCCGCGCTTGATCGCCTCGACAACTACTTCAGCGACAAGGATCCAGTGAACACGTCACCCACGCCACTGCCAAATAGGCTGGCAACGAGCGGCAATTGCCACAACGTCCTCCCAGCCGTGCGAACGCCGCCTTCTTCCGTGCGTCGTGTGTTTCCGTCGACAGGCCATAAGCGTGCCATCCTTCCTACGCATACGCCACCGGTTCAGCAGCAGAGGCTGCGGACGACGTGTGGACCCAAACCTATCCCTGCCCCTGAGAAACATGTGAAGAACGAGGCGGATAGCGAGATGAGATCTCTCGCTCTTGTAGGGCTCTCCCGGCAGCGTCTTTTTCCCATGTGTGCTCATTGGTCGGATGAGGCTAGCGATGATGGCTCAATGCTGTCGTTTCCATGTAAGTTGCACGCACCGTCACCGCATTCACAACGCGAAAAGGGCGGGCAGCAGACCTCAAAACGGTTTCCGTCACGTCAATTTAAGAGTGAGGCTCCACCGGAGTGGAGGAAAGCGGTGCGCTCGCTTTTTTACTCCATGCTGTCGCTCCGTCTGGAGGAAAGTGGCGGGGTTCAGCTGGAGGAGATGGACCTGCGTGGAGGGGCAATGGGTTTGCTGCGACTGCAGGGATGCGAGCTCTCCGCGCTAAGTCCACAGGCTTTCGGTGCATTGGATGTGACGCTCGACGGTAATTCATCCGCCATTCACTGCCGTCAACCCGCAGAGCCCAGCATTCTTCAGCGCTCTCACATCCAAAGGGCTGAGAAGCCGATCGGGGTAGAGCCAAGTGCGCTGCGTGGAAGGGTGATGGCCAAGCTTGCGCAGTCACACTTCATCAGCACAGTGGAGAAGAAATGTGTGCATGCGACGGGGAACTTATTGAGCCATGCGTGGGGGAACGCGGAGTCGTCGGCCGCCCTGAGGACCACAGGGGAAAGTGGACAACTGCAATTACCGAGTGACACAACCCGAAGCCGTGCCTTAGCCTCGATTTTGGAAAAAAAGAACGTACAAAAGTGAAGCGTGCTGGTACAAGGTGCATGTACAGAGTTAGAAAACACAAATCATGGGCCTCTACGTGTGTGTGTGTGTGTGTGTGTTGCCAACAACACGAAGCGAAAAACAAACTTGACACGTTTCATCTCCACCTCAATATTTGTGGCATAAGTGAACTTGCTCCCTCTCTCTCTCTATCTCTATCTCTCTCTCTACTTCGCCTCCTCTTCTGCTTGGCACCGCCCATGCATCAGCAACAAGGAGAAAGCGAAAGGAAACCCCATCGAACGCCGCAGCCTGTGAGATAGTGGTGGTGGTGCAACGAGGCATAGCGCATGTTAGGCCCTCCTCAGAAAACATCATCCAAAGTGCCTGCTGCACGACTGGCGGGCAATAAAGCCCCATCCAAAGCACCCATTGCAAAGCCAAAGGCGTCTAAAAATACATCCGCCACCTCCGCCGCGAAACAAACGACGCAGCCCCATAGTTTACCTAAAAAGACGAAGTTGTCGCCCCATTCAGCGTCATCGACACGAAAGAAAGAGGAGGAGTCGTCTTGCCCTGTTTCCTCTGCTGAGAAGACAAGAACGAGCATCCCAACGCGTGTAGGTACCACGCCCTCGGAAACATCCTCGGATGAATTCTTGCACGTAGCTCTGTGTAATAACTCACTTACTCCTATTGGAACACCGCGAGAGATATGTCAGATGTTTGAGAGCAACACAGATGGCCAGCGGAAGACGAGCTTCACGCGTGAAGAAGATACTGCGGCGGACATCGTGCACACAGGGGAGAATCATTCACCACCGTTATGGCCACTCACCCCAACTCCATCCACCACCGACGCAAAAGAACCACGGCAACATCCCATAGGAATGGCCACGCACAATAGTAACTTTACGGAAGAGGAAAGTATCCTTCAACAACCGGTTAAGGTCGAAGAAAGCATCGGACAACCTTCTGCGGAAGTAGCAAGACTTCGAAGTCCGTTGACAGCGGAGGAAAACCCAATGTTTTTTCACCGCCCGGCACTGATGGAACGTGAAATAGAGACGCTCAAACAAAAACTTCACCGAGAGCAAAGATCTGCAGAACACCATCGCCACGCCCACATGGAGACCTTAATAGAGCTCGGTAAGCTAAAAGAAACGATGAACCAATACGGAGATTATGTCTCCCTAATCAAGCGCAACGCGGAGCTGGAAGCCCAGATACGTGAAATGGCGGAGGAAAGAGTGGAGCAAGGCCTTGCTATAGCAGAGCTGCGGGAGGAGGTGGCCTCGAGGAAAACGCGGAACGGCAGTTCCTCCTGCGACTCTGAATGCATGACGGTACGTCTGGCGAGTCTTTGTGGTCTTTGTCGTGAGAAGCTGGGGGGCGAGGCGAAGCGTCGCGTTGTGCGCGATCGTCTGGCACAGCTAGCGGTGCTGAAGCCCTTAGGCGCAGTTCCACTGTCCCTTGCGGACTCCTGCCACCCTGAGGTGACGGGACGACTGCAGAATCCACGCGAGAGGGATCCGGCAACGCCACTCATGTTGCAGCCAGCTGCAGTAGACTCCTCAGGACGTGGTGTGGGGGCTGAGGTGCAGCCGCGGCAGTGCAGCAAAATGGGCGTCAGCGACCCCTCCGCGGTGCCCCAAAGGCCCGGTGGCGCAGCCAGTAAGTGGAGAGAGCTCACTGCAACTGACGGAAGGGTGTTGTACTACAACATCGTCACCAACACAGCCACAGCAGTGCGTCCAGCAGAGGTGGTCTGCGAGCAGAAGCAATGCAGGGAAAGCAGGCCTCTCTCGCAGGGCCCAAAGTGAGATGCAGCCTGCTGGAACATTGATGCAGCCTCGTTTGTTTGTTGGGCGTTGCCTGAAGGGCGGTGTCAGAATGCCTTTTTTTTTCTAGCCTCTCCGTTTTTGCGAGTGAGTGAGTGTGATTCCTCTGCCCCCTTTGCCACTTGTCAGCTGGTGTTTGCTTTCCTCTTGCTCCTATGTGGACTCGCCACCGGCTGCGGTGAGAAGGCACAGTGGTGTATCCTCTTTGTGTGCTCCGAAACCACATGCACTGCTCTGCAGACGGCTGCCGTGTCTAGGCTGCTGCTGTGTTGATGATCTCTGGCTGTGTTTTGCGGCTCCTGCTTTGCGGTATCGAAGATGGCATTCTTTTCTTTTGTGTGTGTTTTTGGTTCATCCTCCTCCTCCTCCGCTGCTGTTGTGCGGCGGCCAGGGAGGGAGCCGGAGAGGAGGTGGCAGTGTGGTGGTGGTGCTGGCAGGTGGGGACGGAGGTGAGAGGGCCGGGTCCAGTCGGGGATGAACAAAGCACCGAAGAAACGAGGCCTTTCGGTCGAAGAGAAGGTCTCGCGGGTTGAGGAGTGGTTCTTCTCTCACCCCACGCCATACACACTGAAGGAGCTGCTGGTGGTGCTGCCGAAGGCGACGGGCGTCATTTTGCAGTCGATCGAGGAATGCTTGGAACTCCTCGTCTCTGAGAACCGCATCAGCCAGAAGAAGATCGGCGTCCACGTCCTCTTTTGGTGGTTTCCCAAGACAGCGGCGCAGCAGTTGGCCGCGGCGTTCAACGCCAGCGGTAGTGGCGGGGCGGTGGCCGCAGCCAAATACATGAGTATGGGGCTGCCGCAGCTGCAGAAGGAAGTGCACGCGTTGG